TCAAGCAAACAGATGAACAACGGGAGGACAGTGCTACAGTGCTCTATAGTGCTAATATCAAGACAGCAGTACAGGATGATTTTTGAAAGGGTTGCTGATATGTTTTCCTGGTAATGCTGCCTTGGCGCCACCGTGTGGATAAAAAAAACACTAGCACACGTTCTGTGGTTATTGGTTTTTGCCTGGCAATGATTAGGAATAGGGGAATAATATTATTTTTAGGAGAAAAACCCCATTCAAATAAATGTATCAAACACTTGCTGGACACTAGATGTATTCTAAGCCATTTACTTTCACTATCCCATTTCCTACTCTATGAGATGTAGGATGGTACCCTTTCTCCTACCATTCTAAGAGAAAGGTTCGGATAAAAATGTCAAACACCTTATAAAATTGAATATCAGGAGCTGGAGCGATAGCATAGTGGGTAGGGCATTTGCCTTGCATGTGGCTGACCCAGGTTCGATTCCCAGCATCTAATATCGTCCCCTGAGCACCACTAGGAGTAATTCCTGAGCCAGGAGTAACCCCTGTGCAGCACCGGATGTGACCCAAAAAGAAAAAAAACCCCACAAAACTGAACATTAGAAAGATTGGGGGCCAGAGAGATAGCACAATGGGCTGAGCACATGCTTTGTCTTCTATAGACCAGGGTTCGAGCCCTGATGCTGTGTGCTTCCTCGAGCACCACAAAGAGTGGCCCAGATCACACCTGGTGTGACCCCCAAATCCAAAAGATTTGGAAATAAAATATTTTACTAACTTTACCCACTAGATTTCAGTGCTTTTAGAACAAACTGACCGGCTCAGTGTTCAAACTTATAGCTGAAATTCAAATCGCAGGGCATATTTCTATCTCTAGGTACATTTTAATGATTGGAAGGAAATGGAAGGAATATGGAAGGCAAGTCTTATAGCTGTCCTGTTTAGGGTTGCATCTGGTTATACTATAGGAATGCCAGCGCCTGGTTATGTGCCTGAGGGTTGCTCCTAGCAGTGCTCAGGGAACCATATGGTATTAAGGCTCCAACCCAGATCTCCTGCAAACACAGCATGAAGTTAGGCCATTGACCTCCCTCCAGCCCTCCATATTTTATTTTATTTTTGGGTCTTGGGTCCACATAAGCAGTGTTCAGGTCTCACTCCTGGCTCTGCACTCAATAATCACTCCTTGCAGGCTCAGAGGACCATAGTGGGCTGTGGTGCAGCTGGAAATCGCTGGTAGCACCAGGGATCACGGGCAGAGCTGCCTGGATCGTGCTTAGTGTGTGCAGAGACTCTGGGGGCTGGACTCATGGTCTTACACTTCAAGGCAGACTTTTTTTTTTCTTTTTGGGTCATACCCGGCGATGCTCAGGGGTTACTCCTAGCTCATGCACTCAGGAATTGCTCCTGGTGGTGCTCGGGGGACCATATGGGATGCTGGGAATCGAACCTGTGTCGGCCATGTTGGCTGCGTGCAAGGCAAACGCCCTACCCGCTGTGCTATCACTCCAGCCCCCAAGGAAGACATTTTAAGCCACTGTGACTTCATTCTTCAGATGCTTGTGTGTAGGGTGTGTGTGTGTTGGGCCATATCCAGGGTTGCTCAGAGCTTACTCTTGACTCTCTGCTCAGGGACCACTCCTGGAGGGGCTCAGGGCACCACACAAGGTGCTGGAGATTGAACCAAGATCATCTACATCCAAAGCAAATGCCCTACCCACTGGCCCCTAGTAATGGTTTTTTTTAAATGAAAAGTCTTTTTATGCATATAGTTGGGGAAAAGCATGCTGAAGAAAATGTAGGTATTTAACTGCTGAGAATTTTCAATTTTGCATTTATTTCCTGGAAAACAACGGCACTGGAAACTCTTCCTGGGACTTAAATCAGTAGCATCCAAAGGACTCAGTATATTAATTCTGAATCCTCAGCGGAGATCTTGTCACCCGTGGAGAATAAATACCGCATGTGACCAGGGGAATGGGAAAATCCATTCTCTTCTGTTTATGGCTGAGGCCACAGGGGAAGAGAGCAGAGAAAAAACTGACCGGAAGTAGTGATGGACAGGCGAGGCTGGCTGAAGACCTGAAGGCTAGGGATGGAACTTTGGCAGAGTGTGTGCCGCCCTTGTCTGGGGATCATCTGGGTTCAGGCTCGACACCAAAACAAAAGCACACTCAAAAAGCAAGTAGAAAATTATAACCACCCAAACCACATAGTTTGCCTGACAAACTCTTCGCTGATCACGATAGTTTCCAGTAGCATTTCTCTACCAAGGCGCATGTGGGCTGCCAAGATATTCCAAAGGGGCCACAGGTGAAAATCATCAAAAAGAGGGGCCACAGCACAAGACTAGGGGTCAGTCAGTAGAACAGGGGTCCAGAGGGAGGAAATGAGGCCAGATGGGGCCACAGAGGGAACAAAGGTGGAGACACACTGGTCAGAGTAGGCGCCAGGAGGGTGAGGGACATGGGCACATCCAGAAGAGTGCAGTGACCGAGTCTTGGTGGGTTGCTGAAGTGGGTGTTTGGATAGATGACAGTTCCTCAGCTTGTTCTGAAGAGCCAGAGTAAAGCCTGATTGGATGCAGGGGGCTAGTTGCAAGTTCTGTCAGCATCTCTGCCATGTGTAGGTAATAAGACAGCATCAGCAGCATCACATGAAGTTCTCTTCATTGGTACATCCACAAGTACCAAAATGTGCCTCTTGGTTATATAAAGAAGAGCAGAAGCTGGAGAGAGAGCACAATGGGTAGGGTGCTTATCCTGCACACTGCTGAGCCCGGTTCAGTCCCCAGTACTGCTATGGTACCCCCAGTTCCTGACAGGAGAGAGCTCTGAGCAGAGTCAGGAGTAGCCCCCGAGAACTGCTGTGTAATCTCAGAAGAGAAAGGAAGAAGCAGAACAGTTCTGAAAGTCTGTTAAAGCACTAAGAAGTTTTAAGGAAAATCTATAGAGGCATTTATCTGGATGCTATTCCTAGCCATGAAGTAATGAAAGAGCAAGGAGCATTTAAAACTGAGTCACTGTTATAGTTGTCAATAAAGGAAAACAATTATTCTCAGCCACATAATAGTGGGGGAATTTGGGAGCCCAGAGTGATGTCAGAATGCATCGGTGAATTCAATCACAGCCCCCCTGAAGTAGCAATGTAGCACTGTCCTCCCATTGTCCATCGATTTGCTTGAGTGGGCACCAGTAATGTCTCCATTGTGAGACTTGTTACTGTTTTTGGCATATCGAATATGCCATGGGGAGCTTACCAGGATGCTGTGTGGGCAGGATACTCTTGGTACCTTGCCGGGCTCTCTGAGAGGGGCAGAGGAATCGAACCTGGTTCAGCTTCATGCAAGGCAAATGCCCTACCAGCTGTGCTATCGTTCCCCTCTGAGGTACTAAACCAAATTTCTTTTGCAGTTTTTACATCTAAGAGCATTTGGTTAGATGTCTTACTAAATGGTAAACGGAAAGAAACAGTTTGAGGAAATTATTCTTTCCCACTATATTTCATAACTTTACCTAGAAGCTGGGAGAATGTGGTGTAGTTTAGGTTAATCCTGATGATCCTGTTGCAGACTCAACTGTATAAGGCATGGCCCTCATATGACTGACATCTGAAGATTGGAGTTTGAACTTGTTTTAAATGAGTTCTGTAAAAATTGCACATAGGAGCCTGAGATATAGGATAGTGGATAAGTTGCCAACCTTGCAAGTTACACCAGCACCCCCCTGCAGTCCTCCAGTCCCTACCATGAGTGATTTCTAAGGGCAGAGCCAAGTGTAAGGACTGAACACTGCTGGGTGTGCCCCCCAAACCAACGAATTATGTATGAACTATAGGTTCTTGAAAAACAAAACAAATGTACTTAAGATGAATGCCCTTGAGGAATTCTTAAGTGGCTGAATCCAGAATGTTTTCGAGTTTATAATATAGGAATACAGCCCAGAGTTGCCAAATGACAACGCTTCTGGCAAACACAGTGGCTTCCTTGTATTTCTCTCTATTATCAGCCCCTTACCCCCCCTCATTCTCCCATGCAGCAAGAAAGATTTCTCTCTTTTTAGAATCATACAAAATATATGTTTAGAACTAGTAGAACATAGTTAATTGAATGCATTGGAATCTCATAGCTAAGTTCGTGTTGCTATCTAGGAATAATGAAGCAGTCACTTCATCTGGGAAGTGGCAATAAAAATTTTTACAAAAGTGATGACAGAGAGCCGAGATAGTCTGGCAGTTAGGGCACGTGCCTTGTGTGTGGCTGACTCTGGTTGCATTCCCGATACTACAAGGTCCCCCAAGCATCACTGCATCCTTGGATTCTTATATTGAACCACTGCTCTGATGGCTGAGGATCACAGGTCACTCACAGGGGCTCTAAGGCCTCCTAAAGACTTCCTGGGATAACCCCAACCCATCCCTCTGTATTTAAAAAAACTTTACTTCTCTTGTCAGCCCGAGAGAGAGGTCCATACTCAGAATGATTTCTCCCATATGTGGGCTAGGGAATATCAAATACCCAATGGCTATAGAAACAAAGAGCAGGAGAAGTGCTCTTGTCTTTAGTAGTCTTGTCACTGGAGCAGGGATGGGGGCGGGGGAATAAGTTTGGGAAAGAAACACAGGGCAATGGAGAGGGAAAAAGTGTCTGCTATAGAGGCAGGCCGGGGTGGGAGGGAAGCTGAGGATAATGGTGGAGGGTAGTGGACACTGGTGAAGGAATTGGTGTTGGGATAATATATGCCTGAAACTCAATATCTTTATAATTTTGTAAATCTTGGTGATTCAGTTTTTAAAAAAGCTAAAAATTATTTTCCTTCTGTATCAGGACTTTGGTGTGGATCGTTGACTATATCATGCTTTTTACTTTTTTCCTGTACTGAATGATGGCAGCTTTTAAAGCTGTCTTGCATATTTGTACTCTATTTTGTGTTTTTCTTGTTTTCTAAAATAAATGGTCAAGGGCAAACATCCTTTTTCTCTAACACCTGTCTCTTGTCATTCTCTCCGTCTTCTAGAATTCCCTACTTTGAAACTAGTGCTGCCAGTGGGTCAAACATAAGCGAAGCCATTGAGACGCTCCTGGACCTGATCATGAAGCGAATGGAGAGATGTGTGGATAAGTCGTGGATTCCTGAAGGAGTGGTGCGATCCAATGGCCACATGTCTACTGACCAGATAAGTGAAGAAAAGGCCAAAGGGTCCTGTGGTTGTTGAAAAGTCCAGAGCTATGCCGTAATTTGGATGGGCCCTACCAGTGATCTCCTCTGGGGCCAATGTATGGCCAGAGAGAGAAGCTAAAGGACATTGTGTACAAATAGCTTCTCACCATCCCAGTTTTGCTTACCCAGAGGCAGCGAGCTTTGCAATTAATTTATCGAAGCTTTTGTTACTATTTCTTTAAGATTCTACCTACGTGTTAGACAGGGGTTTCACATAGCCAAAAGTGCCTTTATACAACTTGAGCCCAAGACATAGATCATTCAAGGATTTGGGATTCCATAGCCACTGAACAGTACCTTTATTAGATACAATTGCTGAGAACAAGATTACCTGACTTCATGTAAACATCCCAAGAATCACACATGCAGGTCTTAGGTAAAGTGATAAAACTATATTTATTGAATCCAGATTTTTTTTTTTAGTTTTTGTTTCTGAGTCACACTGAGTGGTCCTCATGGGTTCCTCCAAGCTCAGTTCTTGGCGATCTCTTCCCGTAGGGCTTAGGGAAGTCCGGCACCAGTGTTAGGGTCCCGCATGCAACATATGTGCTCCACCCTGTGAACCTTCTCCCTTGAAATCAAGTTTAAAGATTCTTATTTGTACTATCATTGAAATATCATCTATTTGAAACCAATCGAATGTCTCACAAGAATATATACATGCTGGTTCAACATCCCCGAGTGTTGATTTAAGTAAGGATTCTTTCAGAAATGAAGAGATGACAAATTAATGCTCTATGAATAGATCTTGGGTAGACTGGACTGAGCAACTATAGTCCACTGTCTCTTTCTGGTGGGAGAGAGATTGGTGGTGCGGGGGGCCATGTTTGCTTACCGTAGTATAAGAAGCTGAAGGAGGGTTTCTGCTCGTTGCTAAGTTCCCAAAGCTCTGAAGGGTATTGAGGTTCAGAGAACTAGATTTGTGGCTTCTAATTCACTGTCACCAATGTATTCATATTTCACTATGTCAGCCACATCTGAATAGAACTGGTACTTATGCTGAAGTCTTTTTTGTGATAAGTAAACCTTTAGCTTCTTTGTTCACATCTGTGATGTTTATCTGGCATCGGCCTGCAGTTTCACTTAATTTTGTAAGCTACTAACTTTCTGTCTCACCATTAGGCTTGTATTGTTGTATTTGAAATACAACAACAATAATCTTGTATTGTTGATATTTTAAATCTGCTTTATTTTAAGGAAATTAAGTACATAAAATGTCTCTTTGCTACTTGGTGGATTATAGATGCTTGTATTTAAATAATTACATGTATACTGTAGCTAAGAATCAGAAAATGTGGTGTATGACTTCCTTTTCATTGGAACCATAGCATTTACTTATGGGCCTAAGTTTTCAATTTTATTACATTGTCAAAGCGCATACCAAATTAGAGTAGGTTTAATATATGCTTTATGATTTAGTCATTATAAAATGTTAAGGGGGATATTTCTATTTATTAAAAGTGATGCAAATAAAGTAGATTAAAATGTCCTAAGAAGAACTTAATTGCTATTTAGGAAGAAATGCCACTCATCATATTCAAATAAAAAAAATGAAGTGTTATTTTGTGGTAGCAAATGTTTGCCAGAACTATAATTAGAAAAATAAAACTGTGTTGGGAAATCATTATTCATTGCTCTTACATATCATTTTCAAATGACTTTTTATTGAATGTTGTTATTGTTATTTTGCCTCAGGTCTTTTACCACTTGCATAAAAAAATTGAGGCTGCTAAGAGCTTCTGTGTCCTTGAAATGAATCATGTCAAGTACCGAAATGTCATGTACCTTTGAATTGTGAATTCCATTGAGGGGAAAATTTAAGGGTAAGGCGGTAGTGTTTCCGCCACAGGGCCTTCCAAAGTTGCCCTCAGATTTCAATACAGCAAATCATAATTTTCTAACTACACATCAGGGAACATTTTCTATTTCCCGTCAATTTGTGTGCTTAAAAGAAGTCAGTAGTTCTTTCAAGCATATGTGCAATTTAAATATTGTGCGCATTAAGAACCACAGTTTAAACATACACATTCTGTAACCCTTAAGCATGTGATTAAACATGTACATGATATAATAGTACACACAAGAAATGTCTTTAATTATTGACATAAATAACCTATATTCTCTTTGGAAAGAATTTGTTTAAATTTAATATATAAGTGCCATATATTTGTGCCTTGGTGTATTTTTTTTTATTTACACGCCTATATAAAAATAAAGTGTATCTTCAGTAAAAACTGTTGTCAACTAAGTTACAATACAAGAGTGGTGTTCTAGTCTGTTGAGTTTGTGTAGGAATGTCCCATTTCCTGTACTATCAAGTTTCAGACCTAATGCTACAGGAAACCAAATTCAGGGGCACAGCTTCATGAAGGGCTGACTCAAGTAGGTCATTACTAAATGTTTGTGGAAACCCTACGGTGCAGGAAGTCTAGTCTTAGTTGGTCTCCATGGACAAAACAAGGATTGATGGAGGCCTGAACAGAAATGTGGACTCAACACAGATTCAACAGAACTGGAAACACGAGATCTATGCGGCAACCATTAAAACTCTGTAATGTGCCTGTCGAGTTGACAGGCGGGGGTTGGGTGGGGGTTGGGGTGGGGATGGAATCTGGGAACACTAGTGGAGAGGGGGGGTTGACCCTGGTGGTGGGATTGGTGTTAACATATTATATACCTAAAAACTCAACTATCAATAACTTTGTAAACCACAGTGCTTTAATACATTTTTTTAAAAATTAAAAACAATTAAAGTGCTTAAATTTCTGTGGAAAAATAAATCAAATGTGAGTTCAGAAATGAGTGCAAGAGAAATTGCAAAGGAACTGTGAGAAACAACAAGTGAAAATAACAAGGAAGGAAAGGAGATGATGACGCAGCAAGACTAGTTATTAAAAAAGTTGCAATGAGGGACTGGAGCAATAGCACAGCGGGTAGGGCGTTTGCCTTGCATGCGGCCGACCCAGGTTCAATTCCCAGCATCCCATATGGTCCCCTGAGCACCGCTAGGAGTAATTCTTGAGTGCAGAGTCAGGAGGAACCCCTGCGCATTGCCGGGTGTGACCCAAAAAGAAAAAAAATGTTGCAGGGAGGCTGGAGTGACAGTACAGCGGAGAGGGTGTTTGTTTGCCTTGCATGTGGCTGACCCGGGTTTCATCCCCAGAATACCATATTGTTCCCTGAACTTCACCAGGAATGTTCCCTGAGTGCAGAGCTAGGAGTTAAGCCCTGGCATGGCCCAGACCCTTCTCACCATCCCCCCCCCCCCCCCAAACCCAACCAGTTCCAATGACTGAAACATTCTGGAACCGGCATGTAAATCACTTGTCATCCCATTATTCATTGATTTGCTCAAGCAGGCGCCAGTAATGTCTCCATTCGTCCCTGTTGCATGCTAGTGTAGCCCAATAGCATCTGCTCGCTTCAGGAACACAAAGAGCCTCAAACCGTTTGTTCAGGGTTTTGACGAAGAAATCTGACCATCTCGTAGATGGGTGGCCATGCATCCTTTTGACGTCCTATGGAATCCAGTTGGTAACAGCTCTAGTCCAGTGGTCATCTCTAAATCACACTACATTTCCAGCCCATCTGGTTTTTGACACCTTGGCAAATGAGACAGCGTCCCTGATTCTTGATCGTCGATGGAGGCTGGAACTCCGGATTCCTTCTCTCACTTGGGTGAACCATGATATCCAAGCATAGCTCTTTTGATTCCTCTTTGGGTGACCCGAATAGCATTCTCGTCCTGTTTTCTTAGGGCCCAGCTCTTTCTCCTTTCTGACATCCTTCCCTTAGCATAAACTTCCCTGGTTCCATCCACATTGTCCCAAAGGGCAGCATTTCATTTATCTGACAGCAGTATTTTCTTGTGATAGTTTGGCACACCTCAACAGAAAGGATCCCCTTCTCTTCTCCCTTGATGACTGCGACGAGTGTGGTTGTGTGGGTGACACACACACCTGATGGTGCTTTAGCTGCTGTGCTGGCATACCTGTGTGATAGAGATCACATATTCTACTGGGGTGCCAGGGGGACCCCAAAGAGTATAGGGGCCTGGAACAGGTTTGGCACCAAGAATCAAACGTGAGGTCTCAAGCTTGCAGACAGATGCTTTGCCATGATGCCATCCCTGGACCCTGAATAGTAACATTTGAATTAGAGGGGGGAGGTGATTTCTTCTTCAGCATCCGGTATTGGAAAAGAAATTGAAATATGATATTATGATTCTTCTTAAGTAAAAAAATCCAGCTTAATTAAAAATTCAAATGTGGAAAAAATTCAAATGTGAAAAATGATACTATCAAACAATGGGCAAATAATTAGAAAAAGAATTTTTTTTTGAAATGGAAATGTAAGGTAAAGGTAAAGGTAAAGGCCCTCCCGTTGATCGTCGATTTGCTCGAGCGGGCCCAGTAACGTCTCCATTGGAGACTTTGTTGTTACTGTGTCTGGCATATCAAATACTCTCGGTAGCTTGCCGGGCTCTCAGAGAGGGGCGGAGGAATCGAACTCGGGTCAGCCATGTTGGCCGCTTGTAAGGCGAACGCCCTACCTGCTGTGCTATCGCTCCAGCCCTAAAGTATCAAGAAAAACACTGAGTCCCAAATCATGAAATAATGAGTGACTCTGGGAAAGGAACAAAGTAAAACATTTCTACATGGAACCATCACAATCTGGGTTTGGCATATCAACAAATTGAGAAATAATTTCTAAACATAGGCAAAGGGCTCCCCTGAATAGCACAGATAAAAACAACAGTAACAGAAAACTCTAAAGAGTTTATATCCTTTAAGACATAAATGAGCAATTCAGAAAGAAAAAAAAAGACCTCAAACATTTTGGAAAGTACCAGGAGGTTTACTCCATGGCTTGGAGGCCAGCTACACATGCTAGGGGAAAAGGCTGCTCAGATAGAGAAGGGAGCACCAAATAAAGGGTGTTGGGAGGATCCGCCCAAGACGGGAGATGCATGCTGAAAGTAGACTATAGATTGAACATGACTGCCATTTAATGCCTCTTTTACAAACCACAGCACCCAAAAGGAGAGAGAGAACAAAAGAGAATGCCATGCCACAGAGGCAGGGTGGGATGGGAGGGGGGTGTGGGTGGAGGGAGGAATGGGGGGGTGGGAGGGATACTGGGATCTGTGGTGGTAGAAAATGGGCACTGGTGAAGGGATGGGTATTTAATTATTGTATAATCGAAACCCAAGTACAACAATTTGTAAGTCTACAACTGTACCTCATGGTGCTTCACTAATAAAAAATTTAAAAAAAATTTGGGAAAGCTTTTTGAAGGGGTAGGGGAAGCTATAACACAGTGGTAGGGCATTTGCCCTGCATGCGGCTGGCGTGGCTGACCCAGGTTCGATTCCTCCGCCCCTCTCAGAGAGCCCGGCAAGCTACCGAGAGTATCTCACCCGCACGGCAAAGCCTGGCAAGCTTCCCGTGACATATTGGATATGCCAAACACAGTAACAACAAGTCTTACAATGGAGACATTACTGGGTCCGCTCGAGCAAACCGATGAGCAATGGGAGGACAGTGCTACAGTGCTACAGAGCAGGGGAACCTCTAGCATCCAAGACATGAGACCCCCTCCTGCCCCCCATCCCTCCACCTGAGGCTGACGCTCTTTGGAGCTATTTGCGCTTCGGGGGTCACACTCTAGACCCTGCGCACAGGCTGGCGTGTTTGCCAGGGTTACTGGGGAGTTGGCAGAAGCGCTTGCCTGTGTCACTGCCTGGCTCTCGCGCTTGCTCACCTCTTTTTGGTGGGCTGGGGTACAAGCCCCGGCTGTGCTGGGGGTTACTCTTGGCGGTGTCTCAGGGATCCCTCCTGGCAGGGCGTGGCGACCATATAGGTTGCTGGGGATGGAACAAGGGTCGGCCACATGCATGGCAAGCACCGTCCCTTTTGTGCTATCTCTTTGGCCCACTGCTAGTTTTGTCTTGCGATGTGCTTGCACATGCCCGGCTGCTGGGCTGCGAGCTGACTGGGACACCGGCAGGAGCCGGCTGCAAGGTCTGCAGCGCAGGTGGTGTTTCGAAAGGAATTTGAGCTCGGAGCTTGCAAGGCCTCGAGGTTTGTGTTGTAAGCCTCCCAGTCATTCCTTTGGGTCCCTTGGAAAGTTTTTTTGTGTGTTGGGAGCAATTCAGCGTTACTAAGGAGTCACTCCTGGCTCAGCACCCAGAAATCACTCTCAGCGGGCTGGAGGGACGAGATGGGATGCCAAGGATCGAATGCGAGAGCGAATGTGTGTGCAAGCGTCCCCACGCCCCAAGATTGTAAAGAAAGAAAGATACATATAATAGTTCGAAGGACTGAGCATGTAATTTGCATGCCAGAGGCCTGGGTTTGTTCTGCGGCTCCCCAGGACCCCCACATCTCTGTGGATATTCCCCCAGCAAGGAGCAAGGAGCTGGAGGAGGTGAGGAACACTGCTGGGGGTAGCCCCCAAATCAGAAAAGAAGAAGAATGCAATAATGAAAACATTTTAGTGATCGCAAAGTTGACCTTTGAGGATGATGTGGTGAAGAAAGCATCTGGTTATTGAGTGCTCAGGGAGAAACTTTTGGAAAGCATTTGGTGTTATCCACTAAGTTTTGAAACTCTAATCCAGCATCATTATTTTTTTCTCTGAATAAAGAGCATATCAATATAGCTTATTATGTTAAGGGGTGGAGGCGTTCTTTAGAATACCGTCTAACAATCGCCTAAATTGTGAAAAAGAATGCTAAGTATTCATGATGACTATACTTCTAATAGTGAACTACTTATGAATATACTACTATCCATGTACTGCTAATTTCTTTCTTTTTAAAAATTTTATTGAATCACCGTGAGAAAATTACAAGCTTTTATGTTTGGGTTACAATCACACAATGATCAAACACCCATCCCTCCACCAGTGCACACTCCCCACCACCATTATCCCCGGTATACCCCCCCTTTCCCAGCCCCCCCCCGCCTCCATGGTAGACAATATTCCCCTTTCTCTCTCTCTACTTTTGGGTATTATGGTTTGCCATACAGTCACTGAGAGGTCATCATGTTTGTTCCCCTATCTACTTTCAGCACACATCTCCCATCCCGACTGATTCCTCCAGCCATCATTTTCTTAGTGATACCTTCTCTATCACAGGTGCCACACTGCTAATTTCTGTGTCCCGAAAGTTCTAGGGATTGGGGATACTCAGCAAGCCAAACCCCCAATCCTCGTGGAACTCACATTTCAGTTAAGGGAGATAGGTAGCAGCAAAAGCTGAAAAAAACGCGTGAAGTCAAGTTATCTTGTGAAATCCAGACAGACACAAAAATAGCACAATAGTCTATGTAGGGGACACGCTTGTGAGTGCAGTAAGAGGACAGATCACCTTGGGGAGATCTGGACTTCGGGAGTGGGGGAAGGTCCTTCGAATATGTTTATATGTATATGGCACTGTAGCACTGTCCTCCCATTGTTCATTGATTTGCTCGAGTGGGCTCCAGTAATGTATCTATTGTGAGACTTGTTACTGTTTTTGGCATATTGATTATGGCACGGGGAGCTTGCCAGGCTTTGCCGTGCGGGTGGGATACTCTTGGTAGCTTGCCTGGCTCTCCGAGAGGGACAGAGGAATCAAACCCAGGTTGGCTGCATGCAAGGCAAAGTCCCTACCCGCTGTGCTATTGCTCCAGCCCATATATATGTATATATACGCATAGGTATATATACATATATACATATATACACATACACATATATACATACGCATATGTATGTATATATACATACACACATATGTATATATACATGTGTATATACACATGTAGGGCTGGAGTGATAGCACATCAGGTAGGGCGTTTGCCTTGCATGCGGCCAACCTGGCTGACCCGAGTTCGATTCCCCCGCCCCTCTTGGAGAGCCTGGCAAGCTACGCAGGGCACTATCTATGACACATTCAATATGCCAAACACTGTAACGAGTCTCACAAGGGAGATGTTACTGGGCCCGCTCAAGTAAATCGATGAACAACGGGAGGACAGTGCTACAGTGCTACACATATGTATATGCATATGCACGTATGTATACACATATACATATATGTATCTCTAAAATCAATGCATATAAATAATAAAACAGAAGGCGGGGTGAAGGTGCAGAACCTAGGGCAACCCGGCGACACTAGCTGCTTGACACCCTGCAGCGATTTCCCTGCGAGGCGGGCAGGCTGCGGAGCTGTGGTCAGCCCTGCGAGCAGCTGGGCAGGACAAGAGAGACGGCGAGTGAGCACCGACATCACCCTACATCCTCACGCGGCCGGAGAGCGGTGACGTCACCCGGGCCCGCGGCCTTGCGCCTGCGCCCTAACCGCCGCGCTGCTTTCCCGCGCGTTGCCACCGGGAGGCGCCGTCGCCGGCGCGGGGTTCGGACCCGCGAGCGCAGAGCCGCGGAGACTCCTTCCGGGTCGGGCCGGGGTCAGGGCCGCGACCCAGACGCGTCATTTCCGCTCCGGTCGGGCGCTGGCGGCGGCGCCTCCTGCGGGGACAGCATGCGGATCGAGAAGTGCTACTTCTGCTCGGGGCCCATCTACCCGGGCCACGGCACGATGTTCGTCCGCAACGACTGCAAGGTGCGGGCCGCCGTGCCGCGGCACCGGCCGCCCGAGCTCGGCCGCTCGCGTGTAGCCCACGCGCATGGAGGACGCGGCGGGCCTGGGCGGGTTGAGGAGGGGGCGTCGCGGGGAGGTCCCGCGGGAGGGGGGGCCCGGGCCCGGGTTCGGGTCCCGGTTCCGGCGCAGGAGGTGGCGCGGGCCGGGAGCACCGCCGCGAGAGGCATCTGGGGCGCGGTCTCGGGCGGGGGTCTGCCCGGGCCGACCCCCTGCCGCAGCCCGTCCCTGCGGCTCCCGCGCGGCGCCCCGCAGCGGGGCCTGTGGGTGGGCGCCCCGCCCCGCCCCGCCGGGGCTGGCCGTGGAGGGCGTGAGGGGTCTCTGCATCAGACAGTGATCGGGACTCCCGGCGTCACCGCCTGCTCGTCCTTCTGGGTCGCGTCGAGTCAGAGGTCGGAGTCAGGGGTCGGTCTGGGTCAGCGTGGGGGAGTTGAGAGAGGACGGGGAGGGCACTGGGTGCCCGCGCTCGGGGATGGCACGAGGTGATGAGGTGGGCACTGGGTGCTGGGGAGGCAGGAGGCTGAGACGCCGCAGGTGGCCTGGTCCTGGGCCTCGCTCGGACCGCAGGGGGTGCCCGTCGGCTGCTGTGTGTGTGGGGTCGGCACCAGGAGCTCAGCCCGCCCGCACAGGGAGGGAAGGTTGGTGGGGGAGGAGAGCGGTGGGCTGAGTGAGCTGGAGGGGGACAGTGGGGCCAGGACGCATCTGATAGGGAAGGTAGAATACCCCCTCCCCCCCGCCCCCCAGGCATTGATGGGCGAGTTTCTGCTGCTTTGTGTGATGTGTGTGTGCGTGAGAAATCTTATTAACACCTGGAAAAGAATCCTTTATTACCTCTAGACTGCAGAATGAATTGCCCCATCTTTCTAGAGTGGTTTGCTGGAAGAGCTTTCTTTAAATAAAGTTTCACATCGGGGCCTGGAGCGATTGTACAGCAGGGGGGAGGGCGTTTGCCTTGCCTGCAGCCGACCCAAGGTTCCATCCCGGGCATCCCATATGGTCCCCTGAGCACTGCCAGGAGTGATTCCTGAGTGCTGAGCCAGGAGTAACCCCTGAGCATCACCGGGTGTGATCCCAAAAGCCTAAATAAACAGATATTTAAAATAAATAAAAAGCTTCACATCTTGGGTTTTTGGTTTGGGTTTTTTTTTTTTTTTGTCTGTTTGTTTGTTGGCATTTTGGGTCACATGGGCGATGCTCAGGGCTTACTCCTGGCTCTGAACTCAGGAATTACTCCTGTCTATGATCGGGAGACGATGTGGGATGCATGGAATTGAACACGGATTGGCCGTGTGCAAAGCCCTGTACTGTAGCTCTGACCCCAGATTTTTACATCTTTTATCTAGTACTGAGCCCTATCCATTATCTCTGTAAAAGACGACTTTGCTTTCTTGCTGTCCTCTTGTCTCAAATCCCTTGCACTTGTCATTTAAAGTGATGATGTCAGGGATGAAACACAGGGCCCTAAGCCTGTGAAGTATATGCTCTTCTTCTCAGCCTTTTCTCTGGTCAGCACTTGTCCCTTTGTAGTTCCTTTAATTAGTCTTTATTCCCTGATTCTTTGAGCTGTCATGAAGCTTTATTTTTTCTCTTTTGGGGGGGGAGCGGTCTACACCTAGCTGTTCATTCAGAGACCATACGCAGTGCTGGGTTGGCCCTGTGCAAGAGAAAGCACATTACCTGCTGGTGTCAGTGCTCTGATTCCCTCTATTGCTTTTTGAGAGTACAGTTAGCATTAGTTCTTTGTGTTTATGTATACTTTGCAAATAAGAAGCAAATAAGAAAAAAATCTCCCGTGATAAATGCTTCATTAAATCTGCAGAGAGATAGTAGGTGAATGTTGGTTTGTGTGTTGAATGCGCAGGAGGATGCTAGAAGACTAGATTTTTTTAAAATTTAAATTTGATTTTCTCCTTACACTTAATATAAATGCTGTGGTTTATAGCGTTGTTCATGGTGATTTGCTACAGACATTCAATGTTACAGCACCAAGCTCACCACCATGACACCTTACCACAACCATTATTTCCAGTTTTCCCAACCACTCCTTAAACCTGCCCCCATAGTAGGCTCTCGATAATGTATTTTATATTGCTTGTTATAAATAACAGTAATTTGCTTGAATAGTCAAAAAATGTTTCCTTAGAAGAAAGTTAGTGAAAATTGTTGTGTCTCACTATGGAGTCATTAAGCCCTTGTATAAGGGAGTCCTAGGATGTTGCAGGTTAGGCTTCCCATGCTTTTATTTTGTTAATCGAGATTGGTGCCTTCTGCATTACATCCATTCAGTCTGGTGTGCTGCCTGGTTTATCAGTGGGAAGAGTTTGAGATGATTTGTAACTGTGTGACTGTTGGGCCTTCATGACTATAGGAAGGGGGGGGGGGCGATCGCTGATCCCCTTTCCATGAAAGCTTGGCGATTTCAGTCACAAAACCCACATACCTGAGTTTTTCAACAGATTGATTTCTGGATGAGGCTCATAGAGGACTAGATTAAGGGAGAAATGAACCCGTGGAATGTTGCTTTATACCAATCCACCTTCTCCTCTGTAGGGTAACATTGGCGTGTCCTTTCTCCCTGGCCACAGGGAGCTTAGGTTTATTGAGTAATACCTGTCGTTAGCTAAAAAGGAGAATTTATTTAACAAACTTTTTTTTTTAAAGTAATAATGCTTTGGGATAAAGAAGAATTACTGACAAAATTTGTTAGTAATTCCAGGTAACTGTAGTAGTTCTCACATTCTTTAGCTGCTTTGACATTGTCTCAGGAATACACTGGAGCCTCTGGAGAGGATGTATGGACCAGGTCAGATGGGACTGTCAGTGACCATTTCTGAGAAAACTGCCCTACTGGATGTAACTAGTAATTTTCTTAAAGTTTCTCTTAAAGCAAAATGTACATAAGTGAAAACCATTTTGGCTGGTGATTTTTAACCAATTTGGGAAGGGGACTTAGGGCTATGGTTATAATGATATTGAATAGTCAAAAAGATACTCAATTTCTCCTTAACTTAAGTTTTTAAGTAGAGTTCGGAGCAAGGAGAAGAATTGTGACTGACACCCAGCAGTGCTTCTCAGATTTTATAGTGCACTTTTTCTGTTGATGTTAACACCTTCTAGTAGAACATCTTACTTATTTATTAACTTTTTAATTGAAGCACGGTGAGATAGACCCTTAGAAAGCTGCTCATGATTGGATTTCAGTCACAGTATTCCAACACCCATCCCTCCACCAGTGGACATTTCCCAGCATCAGTGTCCCCAGGTTCCCTCCCATCATCCCCCATTCCCTACCCCCTGCCTGCCTCTATGGCAGATGCCTTTCTCTGTCTCTGTCTCTGTCTCTGTCTCTTTCTCTAAGTCCTTTTGGGCATTGTGGTTTGCAATATTGTCATACTGGTCTCTTCTCTGTTTTACCTGTCCTCAGCCCCCCACAGAGTTGTGGTAAGATCCAACCAGTCCTCCTAGCCCCTGTTTTTCTTGGCTAATATAGTCTTAGTCCATATTAGTCTTCTGTTGTGTATATATACTTTTATATCACAAATGAATGCAGTCATTCTATATCTGTCCCTCTCCCAACTCATTCCACTCAGCGTGATATTCTCCATGTTCATCCATTTGTAGGCAAATTTCATGGCTTCATATCTAACACGGTTTATTAGGGTTTTCTCTCTCTCTCTCTCTCTCTCTCTCTCTCTCTCTCTCTCTCTCTTTCTCTCTCTGTGAATCTTGCTAGTGGTTTATCAATCTTGCTTATTTTTTCAAAGTATCAGCACTTGGTTTCATTGATCTTTTGGATTGTGTTTTGGGAATTCAGCTCATTGATTTTTGCTCCAAGCTTTAGGTAATGGAGACTGAGATATGAGTCCAAAGGGCTGTGACGGGGGAAATAACTGTGGCTGCACGAGTGGCCCCACAGCCACTGTTCCCGTGAGGGTAGGCCGGGCTGGTGCCGGTCCTGAGTTAGAGCTCTGCTTCTAAAACTGCAGGAGTCCCCTCTGGCCTAGGTGCCCGTGTGGGCACTTAGCCAGGAAGGGATCTTCCAGTTCCCCATGGCTGCTTGCTTGAAACACTGCCACAGAGGTGTAGTAGACAATTTTGAAATATTAACTTCACTGTTTTATGTCTTTCATTTTTGTGCTACATCTGGTGGTACTCGGAGCTTGCCTCTAGCTCTGCTCTCAGGGATCACTCCGTGCCGGGCATGGAGGCCTTATGTGGTTCTAGGAATTGAACCCACATCATCCTCGTGCATGGCAAGTGCGCTGTACTCTTTCTGGACCCTGACTTAATTTTTTTTTAGTTGAACAGTTTTGGGGCCCAGAGAAATAGTATGAGGGGCTTTCAACTGCTTGCCTTGTAATTACTCGTCTACAAGTTCGAATCCTTGTTGCCGAGCAGGACCCACACATCTCTGCTGTCAGGGGTCCCTGGTGCCACACTTGAGTTCAGGCTCCCCTCCTTGTGTAAGTGCCACAACAAGGACGCGAGCCTCAGAGATTGCTGGCAAGTTGTTGTGTACACTGCAGTGACCCCTGCACCCCTCTTCTCTCTCCCCCCCTCATCACGTGGTAGCCCTAGAGCTTGTGTCAGCTAAGGGTGCAAGCCCTAGTGAGTGCTGGAATCAGCACCTCGGTCTGATACGCATGTGGCCCCTCTGGCTCTGTGACTCTGTGCTGTGAGGGGGCAGGTGTTGTAGCAGTGACATTGGGAAGAGAAGGGAAGGAAAGAAAAGGACGGGGACGGGGGACGCATCAGGGAGGAAACTGGCATAATGCGCAAAATGCTTTTTTTTTAGGTGTTCAGATTCTGTAAATCCAAGTGTCATAAAAACTTTAAGAAGAAGCGCAACCCTCGCAAAGTCAGGTGGACGAAAGCCTTCAGGAAAGCGGCCGGAAAAGAGCTTACAGTGGTGAGTTCCTTAGCTTTTGGGGTGGTTTTCCTGAAGGAAAGTGATTTCATAAACTGGAATGAGGGTTTCTGGGAGAAGATCGGCGAGTAATTTGTTTGCATTGCCTGTGGCGATAATCTCATTTTTACAGAGTTACCAAAACTGGAAAAAAAATTATGCCGAATCCAGTTTGTAGATGTTGGTTTTTCCTTATTTCAAAAAAGTTTTTATCTCTTGCACACAAGAAGGGAAGTACAATGGATGGTGGGGGGGTGAAGCTCAAAATGGTAGCTCAGGGATTCTGAGAGGAAGCTAAATGGTTCACCCAGCAGTGCTCAGGGCTTACTCCTGACTCTGCTCAGGGATCGCTCCTGGCAGGCTCAGGATCAAACCCTGGTTGGCTGCATGCAAGCAACCCACACTGTCTCTGGTCCCAGAACGCCTGACCATCAGCGATGGCTCAGATGAGATGTATTTAGTGAAGCTCATTTATCCCTTCCTCAGCAGAAATGTAAGTGTATGAAAGCAGAGGAATTTTGTTGTTAGTTTTGTGGAAATCAGGGTGAGGAAATTTTGAGATTTTGAGGGGATGCCCTCATTATGTTATGCAACTGGCATAAGAATCTCATTCTCCTATGACTCCTGTAAAAGGAAGAGGTGGAAAAGTACTGGACAGATCACTTTTGAGGAAGGAGGATTTTTTTTTTTTTAAAGCTTTTTGGGTCACATCTAGTGATGATCAGAAGTTACACCTGGCTCTGTTCTCAGGAATCACATGGGATGGCTGCTTTCAAGGCAAATGCCCTCCCACTCTGGCCTCAGGAAGGAATTATCTTGATTTATTTATTAGCAGTCATTCATTCATTTACTCATTCATATTTTTTGGGTAGTTCTTGGGACAGAACTATTTGTAAGGCATGTGTTGGAATTCTGCAAACCCTAGTCTTGAGGGAGAAACGAGTTATGCATCTCTCCAACACAGAAGACTGTTGAAAGCCTCTAACCTGCCAGTTATTTTCTGGCTTCCGGGACACCAGTGCTTGTCAGTGACTGAAAACTTTCCCTTTGATAAGATGCAAGTCAAATCACACTTGTCACAAAATTAATCTTCAGTGTGGGTGAGAAACAGCTGTGCCTTCAGTGCTAGGGGCAGTGTGTGAATGGAGAAACAGGGTCACCGTAAGTCACTGACCAGTGGCCATTTGGCTAACTGTTCTTCCTGAAGTGCTGTGTCCTGAATGCAGCCATGGTTAATAAATAGAACTGTCTGAACACCCGAGTTTCACTTGAAGGCAAACACCTAGTGTTGGTCTCTTCAGGCAGCCTGCAACTTCCAAAGTCATTCTTCCATGCTTTCTGATAAACCATGTTATTGTCAGAGTACTGAGTGTGTTAGTGGTAACATAGCATTTGAATCGAGTATATGTCATGCCGTGTAACCCCAACAAAGGCCAGGATCCAAAGATTATCACAACAAGCTCCCGGGAGAGCACAAGGCAGAGTCTCCTACCCTGTGTCTGACTATCCTCGCCAGGGCCCAACAGCTGAAGACTTCCAGGCCCCAACCAAGGCCTTACTGGAGCCACTCTCCACACACTTGGATAAGCCTCAGACATAACCGAACTGGCAGAGGAACCCAGGTGTGTGGGACCCGGGACTGAGATCTCTAAGCCTGCACGGTTTGGGACTGGACCTGTCAGTAGCTAAACAGTTACACCCTCCAACTGCCGTGTAACCCCAACAAAGGCCAGGATCCAAAGATTATCACAACAAGCTCCCGGGAGAGCACAAGGCAGAGTCTCCTACCCTGTGTCTGACTATCCTCGCCAGGGCCCAACAGCTGAAGACTTCCAGGCCCCAACCAAGGCCTTACTGGAGCCACTCTCCACACACTTGGATAAGCCTCAGACATAACCGAACTGGCAGAGGAACCCAGGTGTGTGGGACCCGGGACTGAGATCTCTAAGCCTGCACGGTTTGGGACTGGACCTGTCAGTAGCTAAACAGTTACACCCTCCAACTGCCGTGTAACCCCAACAAAGGCCAGGATCCAAAGATTATCACAACAAGCTCCCGGGAGAGCACAAGGCAGAGTCTCCTACCCTGTGTCTGACTATCCTCGCCAGGGCCCAACAGCTGAAGACTTCCAGGCCCCAACCAAGGCCTTACTGGAGCCACTCTCCACACACTTGGATAAGCCTCAGACATAACCGAACTGGCAGAGGAACCCAGGTGTGTGGGACCCGGGACTGAGATCTCTAAGCCTTCACGGTTTGGGACTGGACCTGTCAGTAGCTAAACAGTTACACCCTCCAACTGCCGTGTAACCCCAACAAAGGCCAGGATCCAAAGATTATCACAACAAGCTCCCGGGAGAGCACAAGGCAGAGTCTCCTACCCTGTGTCTGACTATCCTCGCCAGGGCCCAACAGCTGAAGACTTCCAGGCCCCAACCAAGGCCTTACTGGAGCCACTCTCCACACACTTGGATAAGCCTCAGACATAACCGAACTGGCAGAGGAACCCAGGTGTGTGGGACCCGGGACTGAGATCTCTAAGCCTTCACGGTTTGGGACTGGACCTGTCAGTAGCTAAACAGTTACACCCTCCAACTGCCGTGTAACCCCAACAAAGGCCAGGATCCAAAGATTATCACAACAAGCTCCCGGGAGAGCACAAGGCAGAGTCTCCTACCCTGTGTCTGACTATCCTCGCCAGGGCCCAACAGCTGAAGACTTCCAGGCCCCAACCAAGGCCTTACTGGAGCCACTCTCCACACACTTGGATAAGCCTCAGACATAACCGAACTGGCAGAGGAACCCAGGTGTGTGGGACCCGGGACTGAGATCTCTAAGCCTTCACGGTTTGGGACTGGACCTGTCAGTAGCTAAACAGTTACACCCTCCAACTGCCGTGTAACCCCAACAAAGGCCAGGATCCAAAGATTATCACAACAAGCTCCCGGGAGCGCGCGGCCGCATTCGCGGCCGCGCGACTATTTATTTAATAAGTTTCAGGATACCTTAAATATCCTTAAATATCCAACCCACACGGCAGAGCCTGGCAAGCTATCCGTGATCTATGCCAAATAGACCAAATTGATATGCCAAATCCAGTAATAAATGGATCTCATTCCCCTAGCCCTGATTATGCAGAGTCAAGAAGGATATGGAAGGAGAAGCTGATAAAACACCAAGGCAGACATGGGCTGCCAAAACGCAGAAAAACAAAAATGATTGTCTGTACTTTTAATGCTCGTACGCTGGCATCTGCTGCATCCATTGAAGACCTTATGGTACAAGCACGAAAGATCAAGTACGACATCATTGGTCTGACCGAAACGAGAAGACATCAATCCCATCATGCTGTTTTCGACACTGGAGAAGAACTGTTCCTTGGAACATGTGATAAAAGAGGCGTCGGTGGTGTCGGTATCCTTGTCAACACAAACTTAGTCACAAGCATTGATTCATTTGAATGCCTAACAACCCGAATCGGACGATTACACTTGAATAAATGTGGCTCACTACCGGCAGTTTCTATCTTTGTTGTCTATGCACCAACATCCAGTTATGGTGAAAAAGAAACTGAGAAATTCTACATGGAGCTGAGAAATTCTACATGGAGAAATTCTATAAAGAAGATCACACCTTCTACAAGATCATTGTCGGTGATTTTAATGCCAAGATAGGACCAAGAAGATCAGTTGATGAACTCCACATCGGAACCCATGGCCTGGAATGGAACGAACAAGGTGACAGACTGTCTGAGTTCATCATGTCAACCAAAACCTTCCATGGTAACTCACAATTCCAAAAGGCTGAATCTAAACATTGGACATGGGAGTCTCCCGATGGACGGTTCCACAATGAAATAGACCACATCATATTCAATCGGCGGTTTTGCCTAACCGATGTTGCTGTTGTCCCAAAATTCCAAACGGGATCAGACCACCGTCTTCTTCGTGCAAAATTCTACCTCACAGAACGAGGAGAAAAGAATGCATGGTTTAAGAAGAAGACTCCCAGAACAACCACCAACTGGGAACTCTTTGGCTCTGTTGCAGCAACATGGGAAGATGCCGTCATTGACAACATTGATGAGGAATACGATCGAATGATTCAGCACCTCCATGATTGTGCAAGGAATGCCAAGAGAGAGATAACCACAAAAAACCGTCTTTCTTCGAACACTCTTGAACTTATTCGCCAACGTGGCGTGGCACGTGCCTCAGGCAACCACAAGCAAACGTCCGAACTGGCAAAACAGTGCAGAAAAGCCATCAAGGATGACCTCAAAAACAGGAGAGCAGCAGTACTGGTAGATGCAGCAGAAGCTGGGAAAAACATTCGTAATGCCCGCCTGTCCTTCACCAACTACAAAACCAAGATGACTGCCCTCCGACATCATGATGGATCTATCACATCTTCCAGAAGGGCAATGGAGAAGATTATTCATGAATTCTACTCAGATCTCTTTAATAGCCACATCCACTTGCCCACATACCACATACCACATGATGGATATGTCGTTCCCAATGTTCTCCCTTCCGAAATCCAACATGCCATCTCGTCGGTAAAGAAACAAAAAGCACCTGGCCCAGACAAGATCAGACCTGAACACCTGAAGAACTTACCATCAGTACTCATCAATACATTAGCTCGACTCTTCACACGCTACCTGTCTGAATGCAAGGTTCCATCCCAATGGAAAACCAGCAAGACTGTACTACTATACAAGAAAGGAGACATCCACGACATTGGCAACTATCGCCCAATCTGCCTATTGTCTGTCATCTACAAACTATTCACTCGAGTCATCCTGAATAGGATTAGCAGAACACTAGATGAAGAACAACCATGTGAACAAGCTGGATTCCGAAAAGGATTCAGTACCATCGACCATATCCACACAATAACCAAGCTCATTGAGGTATCTCGGGAGTTCAAGATGCCGCTCTGTCTAACGTTCATTGATTTAAAGAAGGCCTTTGATTCTGTTGAGACGGAAGCGGTCATGGAAGCCCTAGCCAATCAGGGCGTACAAACTCAATACATAAGGATCCTTCGTGAGCTCTATTGCGGATTCACTACCAAGATCTCACCATTCTACAAAGAAGTAATCATCCATATCAAGAGAGGGGTTCGGCAGGGTGATACCATTTCACCAAAACTCTTCAGTGCCACCCTCGAGAACATCATGCGACGACTAGAATGGGAAAACATGGGAGTGAAGATAGATGGTCGGCAACTACACCACCTCCGCTTTGCTGATGACATCGTTCTAATAACACCAAACATCAGCCAAGCGGCACAAATGCTTGCGGACTTTGACCGTGAGTGTGGAAAGGTCGGACTACAGCTGAATCTTACGAAGACAATGTTTATGAGAAACAGCCTTGTTCCTGATGCTCCATTCGCTCTCAACGGAACCACCATCTCCGAATACAACAGTTATATATACTTAGGTCGAGAAATCAACATGATGAATGACCTGGCACCTGAGTTACGCAGGAGGAAGAGAGCGGCTTGGAATGCCTTCAAGAGCATTGAAGAAATAACTAAAAGGACAAAGAACCTCCAACTACGAGCACATCTCTTTGATTCCACTATTCTTCCTGCATTAACATATGCCTCAGAGACCTGGACCCTACGAAAACAGGATGAGAACACTATTCGGGTCTCTCAAAGAGGAATCGAAAGAACTATGCTTGGAATATCACGATTCACTCAAATGAGAGATAGAATCCGGAGTTCTGATCTTCGTCAACGCTCAAGAATCAGAGACGCTGTCTCATTTGCCAAGACATCAAAAATCAGATGGGCTGGACATGTAATGAGGTTTACAGACAACCGCTGGACTAGAGCCATTACTGATTGGATTCCACGAGACATCAAAAGATCACGTGGACGCCCACCTATAAGATGGTCAGACTTCTTCGTCAAGACCCTAAATGATCGGTTTGAGGCTCTACATGTTCCTAAAACGAACAGATACCATTGGGCTACGCTAGCACGCAACCGGGATGAATGGAGACGTTACTGGCACCCGCTCGAATAAATCGATGAATAACGGGGATTAAGTGATTAAGTGATTAAGTGATATGTCATGAAGAGTGGAGCACATTTCTTTGGAGGTTCTACCTTGATGCTCTGACACAGTGTGTACATGAAACACTTGGATCTTATGGAAAGGTGAAGGAGTTGTAAGAACTGCTTTCTTTCTCATTAAGCCATATCTTGCCTTTTCTTTCAGGATAATTCATTTGAATTTGAAAAACGAAGAAATGAACCTATCAAGTACCAGCGAGAGCTATGGAATAAAACGAGTAAGTAATAAGGAAATTACGGGAATTTGGGAGAGTGATAAATATGGGATGTTACCATAAAGTTACTGTCAGTTTATCCTTTTAATACTAAAATTTCACCTTTCTTCATGTCATTTATTGGTATCATTGTTAGGTTTTATTCTTTTAAGTTTACTTACTCTTTCAGACTAACATTAATTAATAGGCCAGTTAAAATTTTTTGGTAGTTTGCGCTATTCCTTTTCAATATCCATATAAAAAGAATTAGGTCTGGTATTTGAATTATTTGAAATCTCCAGACATGCTGAAACATGTGAAAATTGGGGGAAGAATAAAGATTAAAAAATTATATATTGGCATAATATTGTCATCTGCAACCTATTTTAGATTACAGTGATCCCAATAATAGCTTTAATTGCAAAAGGTGTAAGAATACCCCATATCATCTTGTCTCTTTACTGCCTCTTCCAGTTTGGATTAGTTTCTAAGGTTTAACATTTCAGGATAATGACAGTCTTTAAAATTGGCCGGGTGTTTGGTGTAAAATTCCACAGTTCAATTTATTTGTGGTATATAAAAATATATATATAGCAGAAGACTAATATCCATGGCCAGGGTAAATGGGTTAGGAGGACTGGCCAATGGTTGGAACTAACCACAAGTGTGTGGGGCTGAGGGTAGGTAAGGTAGAGAAGAGAACAAAATGACAATAATAGCCGGGAGTGATCATGCTGGACAAGAGCTGAGGGTTAAAAGTAGGGAGATAGCGGGGAGGGGAGAGGGAGGGGGAGAAAGAGAAGAGAGAAGAAAAGAGGGTGGGGGTTGGGGGGTGATGGGAAGGAAGCTGGGGACACTGGTGCTGGGAAGTGTACACTGGCGGAGGGATGGGTGTTGGAATACTGTGTGACTGAAGTCCAATCATGAACGGCTTTGTAGTGCTCTAAAAAAAAATTCCACAGTTGGGTTTTGTTGAGCTGGAGATGGGTTGTGAGTGATGCTTCTTGTCCTGACCTGGCGGTGCTCTGCTGTGTGGAGGCCCCACTCCTGGCCGTGCTCTCTGACCCTTGGTCAGCTAGGGTCTGTCAGTTTTTACTTTTTGTAACGAATGAGTGCTTTGAGGAAAGATACTCTAAAATATGGGAGGGGAAATAAGCTAAAAGCAAAACAAAACATGCTTTTGAGGAGATGGGCTGGCTTCTGTGTCACCGGATGGAGCAGCAGTTTAGCTGGACTCGCTGCCAGGCCCTGAGATACGGCGAGTCTGAATTGAGGTGTGAAACACACGAGGGCTTGGGATGAAAATAAACTCTCTCAGAGATAGATTTTTTTTTTATTGATTATATATCAAAACAGCAGCATTTTGTTACATTGGGCTAAACCGACATAAATTTGGTTTCTGAGATACTGTTATCATTAAATTTTAGTTTGGCCTATTGATTTTCACTCTTTTTTCAGGGAGATAAAATTGAAAATACTTAAATTTCAAATGTCCCGTCACTTGACGTATGTTGGACAATGCTCACAAAGTTTCTAGAGAGCAATTGGGCTTGACTCCCTTTTAGATAAGGCCGCTTTCTGAGACAGTTGGGTTTTTAGCAGCTGAGAACCTCGCTTATTGACTGGTTGGCCCGTTACATCATTCTCATCTTGTACTCTTCATGTGTCTTAGCACTTGGAGAAAAAGTGTCCTTTGACCGCAAAACTGCTGTCTTTTACTGTGGAGATAAGTTAAGAGTGGGATTTATTGCCATTTAACCTCTACTCATAGAGGTTATAGAGTAAAATTGAAAAGTTAACTGGACTTGCTTAAATTAGAAGGAAAACCAAGCAACAATAAGGGCTCTGTAGAATAGTCAGGTGACATTTGGGAACTAATCCTGCGGTGTTGGCCCAGAGTGCATGCCTTCTACACTTGCTTTATTTGGGATTCTTTTTTGCAGTGAAGTTTCATTTAGTCTAGTTCTGAATCAATGTTGCAGGTTCTCTTTGGTTGTAGTCATCTCACTTGAACATGCCTGAATTTGCTAACCTTTGGTTTTGTTTTGTAGTTGATGCTATGAAGAGAGTTGAAGAGATCAAGCAAAAACGGCAAGCTAAATTTATAATGAACAGGTAGGTGGCTTTTTCTCATTCCATCACTTCTTCCACATTTATTGATTGGTGTTCCTTACAGAGTAACTCTTAGAAAATAGGCATTGGACTGTAGAGGCATTCTTTAGTTTGTTTCTTGGGCCAGGCCTGGTTGTGCTCAGGGCTTATGCCAGGCTCAGAATGCTGTGCTCAATCCTGGAGGGGGTCTGGGAATTGAGCCTCGTGAGCTGCACACAAAGTGAGTGCCCTACCCACTGTACTGTATCTAGTCCTCCACTATTTTTCTGGCCCCATAGAGCAAGTTTGACTTTACTTTTGCAACTTTAGGTATAAAACACTCATAATATATATTTTTTAATTTTATTTTGATATTGTGGGCTGGACAGCATGATTCCCCTGCAGTGACAGAGAATCCGGATTCATTCCTTCCTTCCTTCCTTCCTTCCTTCCTTCCTTCCTTCCTTCCTTCCTTCCTTCCCGCCCTCCCTCCCTCCTCCCTTCCTTCCTTCCCTCCCTCCTCCCTTCCTTCCTTCCCTCCCTCCCTCCCTCCCTCCCTCCCTCCCTCCCTCCCTCCCTCCCTCCCTCCCTCCCTCCCTTTTTGGTCATACCCGGACAGAGAATCCGGATTCCTTCCTTCCTTCCTTCCTTCCTTCCTTCCTTCCTTCCTCCCTCCCTCCCTCCCTCCCTCCCTCCCTCCCTCTCTCCCTCTCTCCCTCTCACCCTCCCTCCCTCCCTCCCTCCCTCCCTCCCTTTTTGGTCATACCCGGACAGAGAATCTGGCTTCCTTCCTTCCTTCCTTCCTTCCTTCCTTCCTTCCTTCCTTCCTTCCTCCCTCCCTCCCTCCCTCCCTCCCCCCCTCCCTCCCTCCCTTTTTGGTCATACCCGGACAGAGAATCCGGATTCCTTCCTTCCTTCCTTCCTTCCTTCCTTCCTTCCTTCCTTCCTTCCTTCCTCCCTCCCTCCCTCCCTCCCTCCCTCGCTCCCTCCCTCTCTCCCTCTTTCCCTCCCTCCCTTTTTGGTCATACCCGGACAGAGAATCTGGATTCCTTCCTTCCTTCCTTCCTTCCTTCCTTCCTTCCTTCCTTCCTTCCTCCCTCCCTCCCTCCCTCCCTCCCTCCCTCCCTCCCTCTCTCCCTCCCTCCCTTTTTGGTCATACCCGGACAGAGAATCCGGATTCCTTCCTTCCTTCCTTCCTTCCTTCCTTCCTTCCTTCCTTCCTTCCTTCCTTCCTCCCAGAGAATCCGGATTCCTTCCTTCCTTCCTTCCTTCCTTCCTTCCTTCCTTCCTCCCAGAGAATCCGGATTCCTTCCTTCCTTCCTTCCTTCCTTCCTTCCTTCCTTCCTTCCTTCCTTCCTTCCTCCCTCCCTCCCTCCCTCCCTCCCTCCCTCCCTTTTTGGTCATACCCGGACAGAGAATCTGGATTCCTTCCTTCCTTCCTTCCTTCCTTCCTTCCTTCCTTCCTTCCTTCCTTCCTTCCCTCCCTCCCTCCCTCCCTCCCTCCCTCCCTCCCTTTTTGGTCATACCCGGACAGAGAATCCGGATTCCTTCCTTCCTTCCTTCCTTCCTTCCTTCCTTCCTTCCTTCCTTCCTTCCCTCCCTCCCTCCCTCCCTCCCTCCCTCCTTCCTTCCCTCCCTCCCTCCCTCCCTTTTTGGTCATACCCGGTGTTGTACAGGGGTTACTCTTGGCTCATGCATGCAGGAATTACTCCTGGCAGTTCTCAGGGGACCATATGGAATGCTGGGAATAGAACTCAGGTCAGTCGCGTGCAAGGCAAATGTGCCCTGCCCGCTGTACCATCGCTCTAGCCCCCAATATTTGTATTTTTGTTAATGTTTTGCCAAATTTATTTTATTTTTGTCTCTATAATTAATAACATCATCTCTTAAGTATATTTCGGAGTATATATTTTTATCCTAAGAATAAGAACATGTTCTTATATAGTTATCTAAGTCAGGAAATTATAATCAACATAATATAATATATAGTCCATAGTTGACGCAGTAGTGTCCTTTGCAGAAAATCCTGGGTTGTGTATTTCATTTAGTTGTCCTATTTTGGGGTGGTGTGTGTGTGTGTGTGTGTTGTCCTTTTTTGGGTGGTTTGTGTGTGTGTTGTCCTATTTTGGGGTGGTGTGTGTGTGTTTATGGCCGGATCCCCAGCAATGCTGGGAGATCTGCTCCCAACTTGGTATTTGGGGGTTATTCCTGCTTTGGGGAACTCTGCAGTGCTGGGCATTGAACCCATGACCTCACAACTACAAGGGAAACATTCTGCTGCTGACCTATAGCTCCTGCCCTGTCCGAGCTTTTCTAATCTAGACAATTTTTTTTTTTTGGATCCCCCACTCGGCATTGCTCAGGGGTTAATCCTGGCTCTGTACTCAGCAATAACTCGTGGCAGTGCCATATGGGATGCCAGGGATCAAATCCAGGTTGGCCGCATGCAAGGCAACCGAGTACTAGTACCTAGTACCCTACCCACTGTACTATTGCTCTGGTCCCAACTCATCTTTGTCTCAAAAGACAAAATTTGAACAGTCCATGCTAGTTATTTTATAGAAAATTTTGGTTTGGGCTCATCTTACTACTTCCTTAAAATTAGACTCAGGTTATGGCCTTTTACTCGAGTGGCGAGGGCCGTCGAAGTGACTGTGTGTTCTGATGCACCTTCTCGGAAGGCATGGATATACTATCTGCCTCCAGCATGAAGCCTGGTTTTCATTTTGAGTTGGTATCTCCTTGGGTAAGATACCTCAGCGAGGTGGCTCTTGCTTTTAAGTTTCAGCAGATTTACCTGGATCTGTTATTAATGGTGAATTTTTAAAAATTTTGCCATTTCTTCTACGTTTAGTTGACTTTAGTTGTGCAAGAAGGAGAGTTTTCCCTCGCTTCTAAAATTTTGTCATAATCTGTGTATGTGTTGATATTTAAATCTGCAGAACGAGAGTTCTGTTAATTTTGTATGCTTTCTAAGTGCCCCCAGTTGGCTGGTGGTGCCTATGTAATTTCGACAGTGCATCATTCTTGGAGTGTGGTTTTTGATTTACAGCTATCAGTTACTCTATACACAGCATAGATTATTTAGAGCATTTTTTTCTGGCTTAAAAAACACAGCTAGGGGCTGGAGCGATAGCACAGCGGGTAGGACGTTTGCCTTGTACGCGGCCAGCCGGGTTCAATTCCCAGCATTCCATATGGTCCCCTGAGCACCTCCAGGAGTGGTTCCTGAGTGCAGAGCCAGGAGTAACCCTTGTGCATCACCGGGTATGACCCAAAAGAAAAAAGAAAACACACACACACACACACACGCACACAACTAAAGCATTAACAGTGAAGGGACTTAAATGTTGCAGAACTAATCTGTTTACTTTTTTGTAGAAGGTGTTTTGTGCTATTGTTAATCACTGAATGATTAAAAAATTGCTAGATAACAGGTTGTTCTCTATTTGAGGATCAGAGATGTAGGCAGTTGAATTGTACTGAGTATATATAATGGATGTGGGCCTCTGAAATTTCTTAGCTTCTTTTTGAATATATGTTGAATTTTTTATTTCCAACAAGGTACTTGGGTGAATGAAGAGGAGGTTGGTGAATAGTGTAAGAATATTATTTAAGCTAATGATTAGAAGTAGAGAACTATTGTTTTTAGTGTGTGGCTACATAATAAAAATTTAAGTAGACTTATAGGTTATAAACTAATGTCTTTGAAGGAAGCTTCAGTGACAGGTTTTGGCTTTGATGTATTTGTAATAGGTTGAAGAAACACAAAGAACTACAGAAAGTTGAGGATATCAAGGAAGTAAAGCAAAATATCCATCTTATCCGTGCCCCTATAGCAGGTAAGAATTGCATTGTACATCCATCTCCACTAAGTAGAACGATGACAAAGCTAGAATTTGTGGTTTATGCAATTAACTACCAGACCAGCCCCCCCCCCTTTTTTAAAAATTTTTTTAAAATGTTTTCTTATAGTACATTTGTGGTACGATTTGGTTTGTTTTTAAGCAGAATTTGGTTTTCGTATCATTGGTTTAGAACATCGTGTAAGTGTTAGGTGTATAGATTATATTTTGATGACTTTACATACGGAGAGTCTACGTGCACCCCTCTGCAGACGAACCCCTTTACCAGCTTAACCTCCCCCTTCCTGTCTTGGAATCACCAGTCTCTTCTTTGCATCTAAGAAGTTTCCGGGGATGGTGGCTGGGCCACACTTGGCAGTGCTCAGGGGCTGTTACTGGCTCGGTGCTCGGGAGTCACCTCTGGCATGCTTGGAAGACTGTAGATGGTGCTGTGGATTGAAACTGGGGTTAGCACATGCGAAGCAATTCCCTTACCCCTGTTCTATCTCTTTGGTCTTTTAGAAGAGTTTGTTTTACTTGTGTCTCCGTCTGCTTTGTTACCACATGCGTGAAAGCAGCTTTTAAAATTTCAGTTTAGCATAATACTTACCTAGTTCCATGTGGTAATTTTTACAGATGGCATATTTTGTTTGTTTGTGGGGTTTTTTTTGCATTTGTGCCATGCCTAGAGGTGCTCAGGGCTTATTCCTGGCTCCGTGCTCAGGAATCACTCTTGGCAGGCCAGGAGACCAGATGGAGTCACAGGCATCTGATCCTGGTCTGTTGTGTGCACGGCAAGCATCCTGTTGACTGTACTTGCTGTACTTTCACTCTGGCCTGCGTAGCATATTTGGAGACCTGTAGACATGTAGTTGTTTTTCTTAAATTTCTTACTGGCTAATGTTATAAAACAGACAAGATTCTTTAAAAAATGTTGATTGAATTCTGCAAGGTAATATTTGATCGATGGTTTTGTTTTTTCTTTAAGGCAAAGGAAAGCAGCTGGAAGAAAAAATGTTACAGAAATTACAACAGGATGTGGACATGGAAGATGTTTCTTAAGAATCCCACTGCCGAGAACCACTTCTATACAGGCATTGGAAAATCTCCTTTGGAGTCTTGAGATTTTGAAGTCATTGTTTCATTTTGTCTTATGTTAGTTCCTTCAAATGAAAGGTTTGAAGATGCTTCTGCCTTGCTATCTGCAAAGCTTAAGTGAGTGTAGATAATAAGTTGTATCTCAGTGTCAACTCTTCACTGACAGATATACTTATGTAAGTCTCGAAAATTCTGTTGTAAATAGAAAAGTGCTTTGAGAAAATAAAGTCATACTGTTTGAATATTGCGGCATTTACAAATAATTGATAAAACTTTTTGACTCAGTATTATATAAAACATTTTTGCTGTAAAATATTTTCTTTATTAATGTTGTAGAAGGAAAATACAATAAGGAACTAACAGTCTGTGATGCTTATGTAACTTTTGATTTCCTTTTCTTTCATTAAGCTCTCCAAAAATTTTAGTGGGCTCCTATATTGAGGGCTAATTATATTGAACTACGTTTCAATATAATTATATTGGATTATATTGACCTAACTTGATTGGTGTGATAGGTCGGGTAACAGTTGAGTTGTGTGTCCCTGGATTGGCACTGCACTGTGTAACTTGACTTGGTTTCTGGTAACAGCTGTTTCTCTAGTTTCACAGTGTTTTAGAAGCAAGGGGGTCATGTGCCTTTAATAAATTTATTTTCCTGTAAAGTACGAAAATTTTTTTTCAAAGTTGAATTTATGGGTTGCATCTTTATATATTGTTTGAATATAAAATAAACTATAAAGATAGTGCATGTATGTACATTATCTAAAAGTGAGAGTAAGCAAAGGTGTGATGAATTGATTAACAAAGATGTGACAAAATAACTTATATGTCGGATTGGTGTTGAAATTAGTTACAGAAAAATAGTTGAATTCTCCATCTGTTTATTATTATTTTTGGTTTGTTTTGGGGCCACACCCTGTGATATTCAGGGCTTATTGCCAGCTCTGCACTCAGGGAGCACTCCTGGCAGGGCCCAGGGCCGCAGATGGGTTGCTGAGGATCAAATATGAGAAGATACTTGCATGTAACCTGACCTAAGGGCCAATGCCCAAAATATATGAAGCACTCACAGAACACAACAACCAAAACAGGACCAAAACCCAAACCAAAAATATCTCTCACAACCCCAACAAAAAATGGGAGTGGGAAAAATAGGTCAGGAGACACTTCTCCAAAGAAGACAGACAGATGGTTGTTGAGGTTGGTATGCTGAGGTCCGTGTTGGGAGGGTGGGCTGTATCCCTTTCCTGCTGCCCCATGAAGTGGGTGTTTAGGGAAAACTACTCATCAGAACAGAGGGACTGAATCTGTGAAGACTGACTAACGTGCCTTGGTCCAGCTCCAGCAATTGTGGGAAATGTTTGGACTCTCAGACTGTGACATTGACAAATGGGGCAAATTGCCTCTAACTCACATCTCCTTGGCATCATCCAGGCAGATCATCAGGAAAAGGCTTCAGTTTTCTTCTGAAAGAGCAAATTTTCTGTTTGTGGGTAGGACAGTGCCACAGTCCAGCTTAGGTATGGGGCAGTTTTACAAGAAGGAAAAAAACAGAAGATGGATTCTTGCATGTGGCCCATAGTAGATAGAATATTTGTCTTCTAAGGACAAATATTCCTTATTTGGTGGGTGTTTGGTGCACTCTTCATGGTTGCATATCTTGAAGAGAGCTCGTTATTTTCAGTTACTATACCAGAACCTCTTCACATAGACCTGTCAGTGTACTTGTTTCTTTCTTTTTAATCACAATGAGATACAGTTACAAAGCTTTCATGTTTGAACACCCATCCCTCCACCAATGCACATTTTCCACCACCAATGTCTCCATTATCTTCCCCTGCCCCCATCCCAGCTCTATCCCTGCCTCTGTGGCAGACAATTTCCCACGTACTCTGTTTTCAGGCATTATGGTTTGCTCGAATTTTCCCACCACCATTCAAGCCTGTCTGCCGGGGCAGATGCTAGGTAACTTATTTTCTATTGCTTATGATGAATATCATGAGCGGTTGGCTTTCGCGGCCGTGCACTTCTGGAATTCTAAAATTGTTAATGGTTGGGGTCCAGAGACATCTCTGTAGGCAGCTAATCCATTTTGAGATTTATTTGGGAGTCTCTGGATCAAGGCTGTTGATGAGATGAGATGGTGCCCGGAGGCTTATCATGGGTGTGGCAGCCAGGACCCCCAGCTGGTGGGGAGACAGAGAGGGATGGCTGGCTCTGCTGCTGCCATGTGGCCTGGAGTCTTAGTCCTGGAACCCGCATACATGGGTTTTGCTCCTGGAAGCTTGTGGCCACCAGAGTTTCATCTGGAGTAGGTGGAGAGGCACGCCCACTCCATCTGAGGTACCTGGTGGAACTGGCTCGGTATAGGGTCTGGAGAGACCTCGGGTGAAGCTGCTGTCTTCCGGGATTCACTACCGTGTCTCTTGTTACCTTAGTTTATTATTGGTAGGCTGTATTTCTTTAGTAAATTAGCATTGAGTTTTGTTTTTGAGTTTTTCTTTTAGTATACTGTCCTGAGTAGCCTAGCAAGCTACCTGTGGTGTATTCGATATGCCCAAAACAGTAACAATAATGGGCCTCATTCCTGAGAGTCCCCCCAATATACCACTGGGCTATGCTAGCACGTGACAGGGATAAATGGAGTCGTTACTGGCACCCGCTCAAGCAAATTGATGAGCAACGGGAAGACAAGTGACAAGTGACTATCCTTGTGGATATTCTCTCTAAGGAACTTGTTTCTCTGAAATCACACTTAATGATGATCTTTCCATATTGAGGTAAAGTGGCTTATTGAAGTGAAAGGGAGGGCACAGAATTTATTCTGGATTATGTCTGAAGTTGTTAGATTGCTAAGTATTAAAAGCATCTAAATGAAATCCTTAGCAATTAGAATACCCACTTTACTAAATTTTGCCAATTATCAATCATGAACTAATGTGTTCCTCTTTCTGAGACTATTATATAGTTATCAATAAAATTCCTCTTATAAAGGCAAAAAGCCAACAAAGACATACAAATGGCCACTAACTGTATGAAAAAGCTGTTCATTATTACTTATCAGGGAAATTCAAATCAGAATGACAATTGGACGTCACCTCACACCAATGAGTGTGGCGTGTTTCAAAAAGGATGGGAATAAGCACTGCTGGAGAAACAATAAAAATGGAAAAAAATTGAAAACATGACCCAGTAATTCTGCTCCTTTGATCTATCCCAAGGGCACAAAAGCACTAATTCAAGATGATATTTTCTTTTTTTTTAAATTTTATTTTTTTGAATCACTGAGATACAGTTACAAGCTTTCATGTTTGAGATACAATCATACAATGTTCAAACACCTGTCCCTCCACCAGTGCACACCCCCCACCACCAATCTTCCCACTATGCCCACCCTTTCCCACCCTCCCCCTACCTCCATGGAAGACAATTTCCCCTATACTCTCTACTTTTGGGCATTATGGTTTGTAACCCAGATACTGAGGCCATCACTTTTGGTCCTTTATCTACTTTCAGCACACATCTCCCATCCCGACCGATCCTTCCAGCCATCTTTTTCTTAGTGATCCTTCCTCTATTCCATCTGCCTTCTCCCCGCACTCATGAGGCAGGCTTCCTACTATGGAGCAATCTTCCTGGCCCTTGTGTCTACCGTCCTTGGGTGTCAGTCTTATGTCATGTTATGCAGTCCTTCTATGTCTGTCCCTCTCTTTCTGACTCATAACACTTAGCATGATGCTCTCCATATCAAGAAGATATTCTCCTGTCTATATTCACTGAAGCACTATTACAATGACAAAGATTTGGAAACAACAAAAGCTTCTAATAGAGGGTCAGTGGATAAAGAAATATATACACAATACTACTCAGTTGTAAGAAAAGAAGAAAACTTGTCTTTCTTTTACAACTTGGATGAAACTTGAGAGTGTCATTTTAAGTGAATAAATCAGAAAGCGACCAATACTGGTTGATCTCACACTGTCCAAACAAACAAACACTGTCTTCCCGTTGTTCATTGATTTGCTTGAGCGGGCCTAGTAGCGTCTCCATTTTGAGACTTGTTACTGTGTTTGGCATAATGAATATGTCACAGGTAGCTTGCCAGGCTTTGCCTTGCGGGCAAGATACTCTCAGGTAGCTTGCCGGGCTTTCCGAGAGGGGTGGAGGAATTGAACCCAGCTTGGCCGGGCTGGCTGCATGCAAGGCAAACGCGCTACCACTGTGCTATCGCTCCTGCCCACATATGTGGTATAGAAGGAAAGAAAGAAGGGGCTTAGACAATGGCCAATGCAAACAAACTTTAGACACTGACATCAGAACTAAAAGTACCCAGTAGAGATGGGGAAAGTGGGGTGTCATGAGGAACAGGGGAGGGAAGAGTTGGGAAAAGTGACCTAGGAAGAGTAGCACTGCACTGTAGCATTGTCCTCCTGTTCCTAGATTTGCTTGAGCAGGCACCAGTAATGTCACCATTGTGAGACTTGTTACTGTTTTTAGCATATTGAGTACGCCACGGGGAGCTTGCCAGGCTCTGCTGTGAGGGTGGGATACTCTCGATAGCTTGCCGGGCTCTCCGAGAGGGACGGAGGAATCAAACACGGGTCAGTCTCGAGCAAGGCAAATGCCCTACCCTCGATGCTGGTGGTATGTTGTGATAATGTGCGTGCTTAAAGCATGAGTATAAACACGACTGTAAAATGATACCTCAGTAAAAAAATACTAGCAAAGACACGTAGAATAAGAATCAAAATACAATTCTCCACAAATATAAAATAAAATCTCCAATGGATTTAACTGCCTTCTCTCAAGTCCTTTCCTGGTGTCTTTGCCCTCCTGGTTCCTTTCTTTTCTCTCTCCTAGGCAGCACTTTCTGTCCTGAGCTCATTTGTTGCTGCCACGCCATCTCCTTCCTTTGACTGTTGCAGTGAGACCGCTGAATTCACGTTCCTTATATTTGTCTTTCTTAGCCCAGCACACATGCTCCTTCAGGAGGGACAGGGAATCTTCCTCATTGAAACGAAGCAGTTCCCAGACTAAGAGTCTATATTTAATTCTCAGCATGTCAGAGAAAATGCTTGCATTGATAATGATGGGAAGCTGAGTACAAATACTGATAGTCAGAGGTGGAAACAAGAAGTGATGGAAATCACATCTCTAATTTCAGTCTGGGTTCAATTCCCCTTTCCTTCTGGGTTCATAGCATAATTTTATGTCTTCTGCTATCATTCAAGTTTATGACGTGTGGGGTTACATTTTTCATGGTTGGATTTTTCAGATGGGGAGGGAGAGTTTGAGCCACCCCTGGAAATGCTCAGGGACTATTCCTGGCTCTGTGTTCAAAGTGACTCCTAGCAGTGCTGGAACTAGGGGATTGAATCTAGGTTAGCACATCATAGGCAAGTAGTATCTCTCCATCCCACATGATTGAATTTTATAGTACTTTGAGTTGAACTATGATAAGGAAAAAAAACTCTGTTTCTAAAATTTTACTTGATATCTTCTGGTAAAAATTGCATAAATTCTAGAGGAGCAGGGTATTCTATAATTGTTATTAAAGGGACTCATTTTTGAAATGCAAAATTGCCATAAATGTTTCCCCCAAGATCCTTATTTTTATTCATTTTGTAAAGGTTTTCAACATATAAAATGGTTCGGACAGTATTATTTATATAAAAATTTTAATTTTGGATTAACATATAAATTTTGACTTGGTGATGAAACTAGTAGCGTACATAGTAGCATTCCA